TCAAGAAGCACAAAATCAATGGATTGTAGCTACATCACGTGTTAAAGGATTTTTTGTCTAAATTTAGCAACTGTACTTATCCACTTTTCCGTTACTAGGGCCCTGTAATAATACCTTTTCTGCTGAAAATTCGCCGTTTGTTCGCGCAGCATTACATAGTTTTCTCTACTCTGTAAAGCTGCAGCGAGAAAGTAAAGATAACTACGATCACAAAGAAAGAGGAATACTTCTACATGCACGCTTTGTCAACATACGAAAACATGCGATAATTTTCCATCGTTCGATTTTCCGGTATCGACGACACACAAAACATGAATTCTGGCTACACCACGTGTTAGATTTTTTCTCAGCTTAGCAAGTGGATTGAACCGCTTTTTCATTACCAAGGCCCTTAATGAAGAGTTTTTCTGCCGAAAATTCACCATTGTTTCGCGCAGCATTACATAACTTGCTCTTTTTACACTGTCGGGGACTTTCAAATTTGACCGACATTTGGCCATCGGTGAGCTACGGGCGTAGGCATTCAGTTCCACTACTTAAAACTTCTACGGACAATCATCAACGTCAGTACTAGAGAAAATCGCGTTCTGATTTGAGACGATGTTCGTTCGTCTAGCCATCGCCGCTGAGCATTGCTTAGGGCGCGCTGCATCACTCATCGCTTGGCTTGCCGACGTGCGCCTCCTGAAGGGGTTGAGAGGAGATGCTCGGGTTGGTTGGTTGTTAGTGATTCCGGGCGCGTAAACTAATGAGAACATTGAGGACATAAGTGTAATGCATGGTTAATTCCTCGCCAGATGGCGGTGATCTTTCCCCGCTAGATGGCAAAATCCGGCGCCGACCTACCGTCTGCTAGCGGGGATTTCCCCAAACAGGTACTTCCAACCAGCTGAGGACAAGCTCTAAGTCGGTCTCCCGACATGTGGGGTTGTGTAGTGCATGTTAGTGTAAGTGTGTGTAAGGGGTGAGGATAGAACAAGGAAGAGGAAGGTAAGATCGCGCGCGACCCATGGCTCGTTTGTAAGGGTGCTGCTTCGGCATTCGCTTGGTGTTGATCGGAGAAAACACAGAAAAGTACCGGTCAGAGGACTCTAAAATTCTCTCCAGACAGCGACTGAATTCGACCTAGCTGACACGCTACTGTCGAAAATGTTGCCATTGTCGGGACTCGAAGGGAAGCTCGGAGTCCACGGTTCTTGTCCGCTGGGGGCGTCCACCTCCACGGTTGCATCAACTTAACTCCTGATACTACATGACGAACGAGGCAGCAACTACAAACAACAGTGTGCAAAGGAGTAAACGAACGATTCAAAATTAATCGATATCTGTATGCTTGTATTGAACATAAAAGATTTAGAATAAACAATATTCTACTCTTCACGAGAATATGTCTATTTCTCCAGACGGATGTCGAATCTACCGCGTGCTCATACCTTACCATTCCCTTCTCTGCACTTTTTTCTGGCAGTAGTGACTCTAGCATTTAATGGTCTCTGAAACACCAAGTAATCAAGCGAACACTCACGCACATTAAGGAAGATGCAACTGAAAATATATAGCGATGGTAGTACCATTTTTTGTATGAGAGCAGAATATGTAAATAACTTTTCAATATTAGTGGACAGAGAAAAGAACTGTTCACCGAACAATACACCTACTACAAATGGAATGTCCAAAAAAAACCGATTTTATTAAATGGTTGCAAAAAAGAGGGAAGGAGAAGAAGAAGTACAGTATTTGGACTATTGGAGATAATGCGCTTTGTGTGATATAAATGTAGTGACTCCCCAAGGTCAGGAGCGGGTAGGAGAGGAGGACGCTCTTATCCAATCGGGAGCTTCTATACGACTTAAATTTTTGGTATTGAAGCTCCCGATTAGATGTGTTCCCTAGCCTTCAAGCTCCTGGACTTGGATTAAATATTTTAAAATTGGAAGAAAATTTAACAATCAGAACACCTTAACCCATTGCCGATTTGTTCAAAAAAATCTTCAGCCTGTTGAGATTTTGTGAGTGGTTTGTACCTAAAGACTTCACTTCCTCTTTTTTTAAATGTTATGAAATGGATCTTCACCGCTATGTGACTGATTCAGGCTGCGTAGTTATTCTTAGTCCTGCGCAGTCAAGAGTTTTTTATCTCTTAGGTCACTTTCTCATTAGGAACATGTAAACTTTTGTAGTATTGTTTCCAGACAAATTTTGCTACACTTGCACAATTTGAATTGTGCCCGTTTAGAGTGACTGAATGAAACAATTTTCTTAAAAACGTAGCACAGATCAGCACCATCTTAATAAACATTTAACAATGATTCATTGTGTAGTTCGACCTCGCAAACGAAACCTACTTCTTTTATATCACCTGAAAGCATATTCTCGTTGACTCATTCTATTTGTTTAGTTTCTTAGGATCACCGTATTTTGCAACCCGTCATAATGAATGGAGATATGCTATAAATAAAAATTTGACGTCACGTCGATATTATTATCAACGTTATTGAAACTTATATAGGCGTCTGTCAGCAAAACAGACGTTTCGATCGATCACGTAGGCACTTAATAAGGTTGGATGACGATATCTACCGATGGGGATGATTCAGGAACGGTCCTGTTTAACTTACATCAGCAATATTTATAATGAAACACGAAACATTAGCTGACGTGCACGAGTGTCCGCTAAAGAAGTTATGAATTAGTAGGCTCATTGTTTGGAACTCGGAGAGTCAGCGAATAGATTGGAAGAATGCCACCTTTGTAGAGAGCACGAGAAGGTCTTGAGAAGATTAACGATCTAGAGTAATTTTGTTTTAAAATTGGAACAGAAGAAAGCAAATTAAAACTTTGCAACTCAAAACAATTAACTTCGATGTATTTCTAACTGCAACAAGTATAGCAATCAACTTCAGGGTTAATGGTACCCATCTCGATCAAGTATCTTGTCCAGTTTCCCTTACGAGATGATTTAAATGCTGAGGTTAAATTCGATGGTTCCCCTTCGGAAACTGGATGCTCAGAGCAACTACTATTGTCAGTGAAATGCTTTTGACCGGCATATTCCAGAGTTTGAGGCCCAGATTTCTAGCGGCTTGCGACTTTTCCCGGTACTTTTTCGTGATTTCTCCGTCAGTAACTTCCAGGCGAATGCTGTATAAACGGATCACGGGACGCGCGCGATCTTTCCTTCTTCGCCGTTGCCCTTCCCTCGCCTCTCACACAAATAATCGCTCTTACACGCACTACTATAACCACTCGGTGTTTATCCTCGCTGGTGCAGATAGCTGGATCGGGAAATCCTGCAGGCACGCGGAAGTTCTCGCGTTGGAGGAACACTAGGGGACTAATGACCATAGCAGTTGAGGCCCGGGAAACAAGAAGTAATTAATAAATCCATCAACCCACATCCCACCATCTCCTCGCCCGCCTCGGTTGCGGGGTATTTCGCCCTAAGTCGCTGCAGAGGCATATATAATGTTGGCTCTGAGACAACTCATCCGGTAAACCGTTGAGTAATAGACCTATCTCACGAGATCCGGAAGGATGCCCTGAGCCACCCGAGTATTCAATAGCGTTGGAGCGACCTGTGGTGTGCTCATCAGGCCGTTCACAATTCACCTCTCGGCACCGGGGTTCAAATCACGGTCGATCCACTGGAAATTTGAGGTGAACAAGTCGGTTCACAGAAGATTACCTTTCCTGATTTCCTGGCCTATAATTCGACCATTGCTCTGTTATGATTTAAATCATCACATAAAATTCTTCAATTCATCAAATTCATCCCTGCATTCGAGGTGTAACCATAAGGCTTCTAGTATTGCAGTAGGGCAAAGACTGCTGATATCTTAATAAATATATCTCATCATGATTCAAGACATATTTGACTGAGCAGAAGTAGCGAAATTCCATTGCTGAAATGGTACAGTGTCTGGTAACTAAGAGGGATCAATTCAATCAAAAGAAAGAAAATAGAAAATGATTTAGTCACAAAAGTTTAAAGATCGTAAGAAATAGTTGTCAAGAAACACAAAAGAACTACTAGATTATTCCCAGAGGTACGTCATGTAACCGACCTGTAAGTAATACTATAATAGGGAAAGAAAGAAATCGCTGCTATGAGAAACTATGAAGTTACTTAATTGTATCTGATGGCTGGTTGAAATCAATTCCAAAAAACAAGTTACTACGTTGAAACTGAAATGATCCTTGACTGCCTAGTAATAGCTGTAGAACTGGAGAGTGTCGTGTCCACACGCTATGGGGCCTTTAACAATGAAATTGTTACGCAAACGTTAACACTCTTTGTTCGCAATGACGTAAACTCGACGTACCATCCTTAATGACTGTAAACGTGAACGTAAAGACGGGCAGTAATCCGTAATAACGTACTGGCACAACAAATACTCCAGACGCTAATCCTGCAGTTGATCGAATGCCATTATGTGGAATAGGCGCGATCATGTTAGAATTTTAATGAATTATTTTAACATGGTTTGTATCACTGCGGATAATTTTATGAGCAATGCTGAATGGAAATTTTCGCTTTTATAAAGTGCTTTCGCGTCCGCCTAACAAAAGCGCCAGACAATATTTGAATCGTTCGGCGAAGCGATATCGTGCGTGAGTCACAAACCACGCTTACAAACGTCAAATCTTAGAGTTTGCGAATTTTTCTGGTCATCTGATGTCATTGTTTATATTTACATTATATTGAATGATTTCATCGAATAACACGTCATCAAGATTTGCATTGACGTTGCGTTTATTTTGAAATTTAATTGTGAATAATCGATAAACCACGTTCTGAGGTATGACATCAGAGAAAGTGCAGCATGACATCATAATAGCTTCTATTCTTAGCTCCTGTCACGTGGTGCTGAGTACGCAGATTTTGATGGATATAAAAGCGCAGCGGGGAAGACGCGTCGGCAGTCGCCAGGGATCTCTTGAGCCAGCGCCGTCTCCGTGTCTCCACGTCTTCGTCGACCGAAGGAAGCGAGTTGTGCGTCATGTACACCTACCCTCGTCCAGTTGCTGTCGACCCCGGCGACCGAGTCAACTTGCGCCCGCTGTGGTTGGTCACTCTCGTCGTCTTCGGATTGGTCGCGCTGTTGTTCCTGGGAGAGATGGCGCAGGACAACGGGAAGCCGCGATTGGTGACCACGCTCCGTGTTGGTGACAACAGCAACGCCAACATCGTCACCGGAGCCTTCGCTCTGCCGTGCACGCGCCACGTCGCCCCTCCTGACGGCGACGCCTCCTCCGGACAGGAATTCCAGGAGACGCCCGGCCCGTTCTGGAACTTCACAGAAGATCGCAACCTCATGATCCACAGGCTCGGGGGCGTCGCGCCTGGCTTCACTTCCCTTATCCACCCTGACGCTCTGCGTGAATCCGCGGCCAGCGAGTCTTCTTGGGCTGATGCAGCAAACGGCGCCAGCCAGATCTTCCCTGCAAACCCGTTTACAGCTAATGGCATTTCTACAAACCTGTCTGCAGACACGGGTAATTTTACGAGACTATCTGCTGCTAATGCCATGTTTTCAAACCGGTCTGCAGCTAATGAAATCGCTGCAAACTTGTCTGATGCTAATGGCATATCTGAAAAACTATCTGAATCTAATGGAATCTCTGCAAACCGGCCTATAGATAGTGGCATCTCAGCAAATCTGACTGCAGCTGATGAAACTTCTGTAAACCCATCTGAAGCTAATGGAATCTCAGCAAACATGTCTGCAGCTGATGGCAAATCTGTAAAGCTATCTGAAACTAATGGAATTTCTGGAAATCTGTCAGCAGCTAATAGCATCTCTGGAAATCTATCTGAAGCTAATGGAATCTCTGCAAACCGATCTATAGCTAGTGGCATTTCTGCAAACCTGACTTCAGCTGATGAAACCTCTGTAAACCCATCTGAAGCTAACGGCATCTCTGCAAACATGTCTGCAGCTGATGGCAAATCTGTAATTCTCTCTGAAACTAATGGAATTTCTGGAAATGTGTCAGCAGCTAATAGCATCCCTGGAAATCTATCTGAAGCTAATGGAATCTCTACAAACCGGTTTGCAGCTAATGGCATATCTGCAAACTTGTCTGCAGCTGATGACTTCTCTGGAAACCTATCTGAAGCTAATGGTAACTCTGCAAACCTGTCTGAAGCTAATGGCATGTCACAAAACTTGTCTGCAGTTAAGGGCATGTCTGCTGCAAACGACAACTCTGCAAACCAATCTACAGCTAAAGGTATCTCTGCAACCCTGTCTGCAGTTTCCGACATTTCTGCAAATCCATTTGAAACTAATAGAATTGCCGCAAATCTTTCTGTAGCTACTGAAAACTCTGCAAATGTGTCTACATGTAATGACATTTATTCAAACCTGTCTGAAGATACTGGCATTTCTGCAAACATGTCTGCAGATACTAATATTTCTACAAATTCGTCTACAGCTTCTGAAATCTCTGCAAACCTGTCTGCAATCAATGACATTTCTGGAAAGCCATCTACCACTAAAGGTAACTCTTCAATCCTGCCTTCATCTAACTTCATCTCTACAAACCCATCTACAACCAAGGGTGCCTCTGCAAATTCGTCGAAATCTAATGATATCACTGCAAAACTGTCAGCAACTAATGACACCTCTGCGAGTCCGGCTACAGCTAATGGTATTTTTGCGAACCTGAGTGAAAATACTGGAATTTCTGGGAAATTCTCAGCAGCAAATGGAATATCTACAAATACATCTTCAGCTATTGGCACATCTTCAAACTCATCTACAGCTAAATGCATCTATGCGAACTTGTCTGCATCTACCGACACCTTTGCAAACCTGACTAAAGATACTTTCCTTTCTGCAAACCCGTCTACAGCCACTAAAATCTCTTCAAACTTGTATGCAGTTAATGGCAACTTCACAGACCTGTCTATATCTAATGATTTCTCTGCAAATCAGACTATCACAGAAAACTCGTCTAAAGACAATTATGTCTCTGTGAGCCGATCAACTTTTCATGGCAACTCGACAAACGCATCTACAGCTCATGGCGACTTGGCAAAAACGTATCCTGGTAATGACACCTCTAAAAACGCGTCTAATGCGAATGACGTCTCATCAGAAAGTCCTCCTCCAACTGATCCCGTTGGATCCGCATCATCATCTGCTGACTCCGCTGTAGCTTGTGTACAGAAAGAACGTCGGCAGAAGACACTTCGTGATTACTCCTTCATCATTTTGTGCAGTGTTCATTTTTATTCATTGCTCCTTCAAACCCTGTAGGCATTTTTATTATATTTCCAAAATGCCCCCAAACATGCTTCTCGTAATGTATTCAACCATGCGGCATTTACTTTGTGTTATATCATTTTATAAATAATTTATTTGTGTTATTTCATTTTATAATAAAACTTTATTATAATATGTAATGACTAGAACAATTGCATATTCTATTTATGTTCTATAATGTGTTCTATTATAGTTATATTATATGTTTTTTTATACCGAAACGTGTTTTAAATTGTGGTATACAACATAAAATATGGAATAAGTTTTAAAATAGAAAAGCTGAATAATGAAGAGTTGACAGACACATAAAAATTAAAATGTTTCAGGCTCATTTAAATTGAATATTTTTCTCAGCAATTCAATTGCAAATATATTTCAATGTTTCGACAGAAAGCTGCTTTGTGCAGTGTACGCAATGTGTTTATTATAAATATTATTATATATAATATTATATATTATGGGATCTTTTCAAACCTTGTGAAAATCGAATAGTTTTTTAACAAATGCTATTAGATAATATCATTCTGTACACAGTATGTTTTGCTATTAAGATTTCAGTAATTATGACCTACTTGGTACAAGTGTAATGATTTGGAAGTTTGAACTCAATATTAAATTGACTGCTAAAAGGAAACGAAAATATGCTGTAAAATGCTTTTGACCTCAGAATTGCGTGTTTTGTCTTTAAAATAAAATTTGATTGTTCTTTATGTGTACTACTTTGTAAAGATGTTTCAATAAACGATAATTAGATTCAAACTTAATTATCTTTATTTTCTGTTCTCCCCATTCTTTGTGTTTCTGGAGTAATATTAATTAGTATTATAAATAAATAAATGTCTTTATTGGTGGCGATGCTCAGGCCATTTAGCCTGCTCTTCCGCCTGACCAGTTTCGAAAAAATTAATACAATAGTTTTAAAAAAAGGTCATTCAAAGAGTACGCAATTTGGATGAGGGGGTTTTCACATTGAAAACCGGAATCTATGCGAGGAAAGAAGGTAGATAGATAGAAGTAGATAGAAAAGCGAATACTCTCACAGCATTTCTAAGATTAAATTTATTTATTTATTTCAAGTTAGGGGTGTATTAAAGTTAATCAAAAATATGTTTGATTGAACGCTACGAGGATTTACTCAAACTTAGAGAAAATATATTTTCTGACTCACAAAATTAGGTACAATAAGGATTGGAAGGATCTTGTATAAGTCAGTGTAAGGTTAATACGTACTACTAAATGTTTCGCACAGAAGTTTTGAGGGAGCTAAGATTGCGTACGTATTATTAAATTTCCCCAAAAGTAGACTAGAAAGGCAGGAAATATCGTCTGCATAAGAGAGAAAACACATCGAGTCAAGAGATCAATCCCTGAGAGAAATGGAAAACATTGTAAGATAATGTATTTCGAAATGATAATGCTTGTGTTTCATAACAATAATAATAATAATAATAATAATAATAATAATAATAATAATAATAATAATAATAATATTAACAATATTATATTTACATATAATTAATATATTTAGATATTAATATGAAATGCAACATCCACGCAATTACACCCAATGTACATAAATGTGCGCTGGGACCTCGTCACCATCACTGTTTAGCAGACAGCGGCAGGTGGAACGTGTCTGTCAGACGACTGTTTCTCGCTGCACTTCAGCACTCATCGGTCAACAAACTCCTTTTGAGCATCGTGAAGTAAAACAATTACTTGTATTTTCGTTCGTTGTGATAATGCCGTTTAGTGGTCGACCAAATTGTTCTATCGTGCGTTGGTTAGCTTTCTATTCCAAAACATTGACGCTGGAGCTATCACTGTACGCGACAGCAAGCAGCTCTCAACGAGCGATTTTCTCGTATGCGGATGTGCACGAAGCGGTCTCGTCATTTCTGTGGGCAGTCAAATCGCGTCCGTCATTGACGGCGTTACCCCCAGTGATCTCACCGGTACGGCACTTCCTTTTTCCGTGCGTAATGCCAGCAAACTGTATATGGAATGAAAAAAAAATAGACGATGTTTTGCGACGTCTGTATTGTACCGACGCGTCGGCTCTGAGAACGACGTTTTCATTTTGCGACGCTGCAAAGTTGGCAAATTGAACGGAACGGCGCGGAGGGTCGGAGGTGGTTCTCCGGCACATTACAAGAGTGCCAACCGCGGTGGCGCACATTTTTGTTGTTCAAGTGCGTGGGCGGATTTATAGCTGAAAGAGGAGGTTCGGCACACCAGCCCTCGGAACAAAGATAACCAAAAGACAGCCACCCTTTTTATTGTCGACCCACCCAGCCCAATGCTTACGGCGACGCACAAGTCAAAAAGGTTCATTCACCAAAAAACGAAGATTTCAAAAGCCGATCACTGACAAATAAGGGGGGCATTGCACCGCGCAGCTGCGTGGAATTAAATCGCACCCTTAAAAAAATTGTGATGCAAGAGGCCGCCATGTCCCCCGCGACTAATAAAACACAACCCGGAGGGGACAGTGTGCCACACTCCTGTGATCGCAGGACAAAAGGGGCGCATTGTTCACTCACGCGGGGTCCGAGTGTTGCGATCGACACTCTCATGGCATCCATTGATGTAAACTTTTTAGCACTCTGTTAGTTCGAGAGCACTCTCGCCAACGCTCTCCGAAGTCGATGCTGAGCAATCAGAGACTGAGATGCGTGTGGAAGGAGGGAGTTCCGAGAATTCGTGATTCGAGAGGCAGGGCCGCTAAGGCCGAGTCAGATGAGATCAATATGGATAGACGAGATGAGATAGGTGGAGATCTAATTTGAGACTCTCTAAGAGAGCGCCTCGAGTGCACAGATTGATGACCAAAATGCCTCGAGCTCGGACATCTTACATGAAGGCTCAGATGACAACTTCACTTGAACTTCGGAAATGATATCGGCATCACGTGAGCCTCGAAGAAAGCATTATTTCCTGCGCTTGCGAGAGCTTCTAAATTACCACTCCGTTCGTGGGGGCCTTGTCACCCTTACTTGATAGTCACGTAGGTGGTAGGCGGGAACGCCGCATTGCCTTCGCCGGGTAATGTGTCTGGGTCACCGTCGCCATCGACGACTGGTCGACAACGAGAGGGTGCCTGGGGGCGCTCGTAGTCGAGGAGACCGGCTGCCACCGAGGGGAGGCGCAGCCTGCATGAGGCGACCGGCGAGAACCAGCTGGCAACCACCCACGCCAAGATCTGCGGCGTCGAGTGCTGCACAGGTTGCGGGCACTCTCAATGATTGATTGACTTATTAGTGATTCAGGGCGCGTCAAAGTCTAAGGTCATTAGTCCCGAAAGTGCATGTGTTCTATCATTGGAGGAGGCGATTATCTCCCCCCGCTGTGTGACAAGATCCGATTCCAACCTAAGTCAGTTGAGGGGTTTTACCCACCCAGGTATCTCCCACAACCGTAGCACCGCCCCAGCCAGGACAAATTCTAAGCTCCCTACTGGTCGACCGTTATGTGTGGTAGCGTAGAGCATTGTACACATACACATAACACACAGATTATGACCTTGAATGGTTATCTTAGCCTATTTCTTGAGGAAGTTGGCGTATATAGAACCCATCCACACCAGGTCTATAATTACATGCTGTTTTTGCTTTTTTATGTGTGCTATTTCTTTATCCAGCCTCTTTTTGAATTATTTTGTGTATCTATTATTGTATCATAGGTTCACTTTTTTCTTTTCTTCGACAAAAACTCAAGAATGTCCCTTGCAACTACATACCACAAATGTCACTGGCTTTTATTCTTTCGTAATTTCGTAATATGTGCCATAATTTTGCAAGAATCTGAGTATTGAACTTATCAGAGACGAGTTCTCCGGTTGTGCTGTATCAGACAACAATCCAAGGAATATTAGAGGCAGAGACAACATTTACTGGTTTTGCAATTAAAAACCAATTCCAGATAGTGTAAAGAGGCCGCTGTTCAGCATTTGAAGTAAAAGACAGAAGAAAACGCACATTTTTGCTCCAAGAACTTTTACACTTTATACACGTAATACTTTCGCAATTTTTCCTCCCTTTTTTCCACATTTCTGATGGTGCTCAACGTTCATCGAGTTTTGACAAAATTTCCATTTGGGTTAAAAACTCGACGAGTAAGCAAAGTGTGGTAGCTATTGAATAAAACATTAAAGAATGCTTATGATTGGGGCCGGACATTCAGTTTGAGTTCGAGTCTCACGTAGACGCGATGATGAAATTTACAGAAAATAAACAATGCGTCTTGAGTACCACGATTATTTGCATTTGTGTTCAAAGTATAACGTGTAAATATAAATGAGCTCAGTGTGTAAAGATTTGCAATATATTTCATAATTCCGGGTAAACTCTTGAATGTCTATTAATGAATGATATACAATTAAACCTTTCAATGAAGTATTAAAATTAGTATTGATTGATGTATATTGACGTATAAATTGTAGTATAAAATGTAGTATACCTACTCAAATTGAACACTAATGCAGACTATTTTATATGTTTGTGTTATTTGATATAGTACTTCATCAAAAGATTCAACTGATAATTTGTTGTGAGCTTAGTCTAATAAGTGAATGTTAAATTCTTTTGCTTTCGATACCATTTTTTAGTGAACAGATTAACCTTTTCTCTTCACTATCATGATAAATGTTTATTGCATGAATTTCTTAGAGTATTTAAATGACACTAATATGAGATATTTAGAAATGCAGTAGGCCGTACTTATTGGTAATTGTTACGACTAGTGCACAATTAGAATAATTTTAATGTAGTAAGTTTAAATTTTAAAGTTAGTTTATAAATATCTTCATGCATTTTTGGTTCTTTCCACGACATAATTTGTATGGTATCATGTATACTTTAATGTATATCATGTTGTAGCACTATTTTATTATGGATAACGATTTTGTTACGATCATCTTGATAAGGTAGTAAACGAGGATGTGGATTTAAATAAAATACTTAATATTTATTACTGTTTATATAATATTTCTCTAT